TCCCATTTATCTGGGCTAAACAGAGTATTTAAGACATCTGTAGGGTTGGTGGTGGTGGATGGTCGGGGACGCGTGGAAGAGGGAGTTTTACGGAGTGATGGAGAATAAGGCTGTAAGGTAGTAATAAGGGAGGATGGGTGCTTGATGAAGGTTGTGGGGGTAGAGTTGATGAATTTGAGGAAGTTGGGAGGGTAGGAATTTCTGGAGATTGAGTCTCTGCTTGGGTGGGTAATGCACTAGTAGGCATTGAGAGTGGGTAGTCGTTTCAGTGTTCGGAGTCGTGGTCAAAGGAGAGCCTGGGGTGGGGCTATTTGATAAAGGGGCAAGTCTCATTGCCCCTAATAAGGGGATTACATCTTCATTACTGGTCATGGGGAACCTTGATTATATAAAGTGTATAAACGGTTCACCTCCTTTCGCTTGAAGGTAAGGGCTAGACAATTAAATCAGGAGTACTGTTCCCATAGTTCTCGCAGGACTGGCACAAGGTCAGCCTTTCATTCTTTCAGCATGGCTCTTACACCTTAGGAAGTAGATAGCAGAAGGGGTTGGAGAAGGACAGAAACAAAAAGCTGGGGGGGAAAAGACCATGCAAAATTTGTTGAGCCGAGGGCTGAGGCCCTAGGCAGGGGAGATCCCTGCATTGGGTCTCAGTCTTCGTCTCCTAAGCCCCCCAAGACAACAACGGGCAAGGGATTGGGGGACATGCGTTGTATAGCTAAGAGGATACAATATAGTTCTGTTGTAATGATTAAATGCTTAAAACAATTAAATGTGCTAGACACCAATGTTCTGTTGTATTGAAGTTCGGTTCAGGAAGGGAAAAGTTGTGTGTGAGAAGGAAAGACTACCACGTAGCGAATACCCGAGATGGATTTGTTGTCTATGTAGACATGGTACTATACAAGTGATTAAGAGATATGTGCAAGTAAATGCGTGGCGAGGGCAAAGGATGAGGTGAATAGGAAGGAAATGGAAAGGGAAAGGGAAAATGTTAATAGTGGAAACAAATAAATGTGTTGGACCATTATGGTAAAGCGTTGTGGTGAAAAGGGTAAAGATGTAAAGATTAGGATAAAATGTGTATGCTGTCAAAGATTAAAGAGCACTATAGGATAGTGTGGTAATGAAAACAGAAACGAAGGGAGCAATGAAACAGAGCAGAGATTAGGAAAAAGGAAAGGGTTAAGGAATAGAGTGATTGGGTGAATTGTAGTGTATTTGTGACTGGAAGGAATACGGACATTGTTTAAGGAAAATAAAGATGGCTGTTGGAGAAGTAGAAGAATGAGAAAGGGGAAATGGGAAGGCGTTGAAGTATCAGGAAGCGACAGGAGGGAGGATCTGGAGAAGGCCACATGACAGAAGGGATTCACGTGTGTTTGTTCAGATGGGAGTGGTAGAAAAGATGGGGTGTGTGGGAGAGGGTAGGAGGGTATGAGGTGGGGGTGGGGGATTGAGGAGGAGGTTGGATATCTGCAAATACTTTACATGTAAAGGGAGTAGGAGCAGAGAATTTGGAGAGTGCATGAGGAGCGGAGTGTTCCCTTGGGTTACGTCTAGGAAGTTTTGGATTTCTTCAAGAGTTTCTGGAGGGGAGTTGGGAGAAGAGGGCTGAGAAACAAAGGTTTCTTGTAAAGAGGAGAAGAGGGGACAGATATCTAAGGAGTAGACAAAGAAGATGTAGTAGGAGGTGAAGTGAAACGTTTAGTTTTTGCTGCGACAAATTAAGTGGAGGAGGAGGGTTAGGTATCAGGGTAGTGGTAGAGATAGGAGTATCTGGATTTAGACTAGGGGAGGGGGGTAGAGGTAGAATGGTTTGAGGTAGGGGGAAGAGATACTGGGGGAGATGCAGAAACATCTTGTAAAATTGGAAAAGGAGTAGCGAAGGAGTTTTGAAATAAGAAAAAGAAAAACCTCATCGCCGTGCTTATCTGGCCTTAGGTAGAGTCAGGCCTAGTTTGAATGAGAACTACTACCTCACATTTGAGCTTACAGGCAGAGCAGCTCCTATAAAATCCGTTATGGGAGTCACCACAGCTGGCACTGTATGTGACTGAGCAGGGTTATTTGAATGGTCGTGACCATATTGGGTACATACAGGGCAGTGGGCTGTGGAGCGAGTGTTTGGCTGGGTGGCCAAAATGTCATTTCTGACATTGACAATGAAGCGGTCGATTTGGATGGACAGGGCAGGACACTCCACCAATATAAGCTTCATGGGGGAGGCCATGTCATGTCATTTTCAGTCTGACCAGTTCTTGGTAAAGATAGGAAAATCAGTAGAAAAAAAATATCAAGAGAAGGGTGAGGGTCATCAGGAATGGATTTGCCATCAGGTCAGGGTAGATATTGTACGAGCTTAGGGATCAGACGTAACTGTGACAAGGCGTGAACAATCAGAACGACTGTGAAAGGAAACTTTGCCTACTTATTTTGGAGACATTGTTGAAAGAGAAGGATATTGTCTGAGTAAGGGGCTGTGGGGGAATCACAAAGAATCGATCCCACTTCGTTGGGCCAAAGAGAGTACTCAAAAGGTTTGCCGAGGTAGAGGTAGCAGAAGGATGAGGGCGAAAGGGAGATATGGTGGTGTGGAGTGTAGTAGTTCTGTGGAGGGAAGACAATAAGGATGAAGAGCAGTAATAAGGGGGAGGGGTAGATATTGAAGATGACTGTGCAGAGGAAGGAGTGCATTCTGAAGGTTGAATGACTTGGGTGGGTGGTTTAGAATGGATAGAGTTGTCAGTAAGCATCAAGGAGGGGTATCAGTATCAGTAATAGGAGTTGTGATCAAAGGAAAGGTAGAGGTCGGAAAACCAATGAAATCGAATTAACATACGATATGGGACAAGCCTTAAAGGGCATATGTGAAGTAATTATCGTGCATTGTTTTTCTTTTAATATTGTTCAATGTGTGTGCTTAGTCTATTCATGCAAAAAAAAATTCGAAGAGACCCTCTGGTATCCCCCAAAATCCCATAGCAACGCCCTTAGAAACGAAGATCAAAACTCGGCATTCTTCGGCAATCCCGGTTGTGAGTCATTCCCAGAACCAGGGAGAATCTTGTTGAATAGCGTGATACGCACAGTGCACCGCGAGTCAAGGATATCATGGATTGTCCCAGTTTCAAGCTATTAAGTTTGTAACAAAGGATTCTGCGGCATTGTGTAGCAATTCATTGTTCCCATTCCATGTCACCAGATACTTGAATGGCCAAAAGACCGCGACAGAGCAAGTAAGTGGAACATTTCGTGCATGCCAAGCGGAGCAAATTTCAGCCTGTGCCAACCAGCGTACTTTGCCTGAAACACTTTAAGCCTGATTGCTTTGCGAACAGAATGGCTTACGACATGGATTTGCAAAATGGTAGGCCATTTCCAATTTATATTTGTCATGATCACCAGCGCAAAACAAACTCTTTGCTTGGCGGCGTAGCAAACATTCATTGTGTGGGTACGACAGTGCCGAGTGCATTGCAAGTGTGCATGTCTTACTACACAGAGGTAGGGTAGGTACACCCCAAAAAGCACAACACAAATAAATACCGATGCCCCTCACTCGCGAATGGATGTAGGCCTGCGCCACGGGTGCAGACAAGAGATAGCTCAGCCTGCAGAAATTTTGTACCATACAGAAGCAGGTTCACACACCATTCATTCAATTTCTCCGGGTCTAGACGCCACTCCATGTCTGGCTGGTTTGGCACAACTTCCACAACATCCACGCCATAGCGTCGGGCTCGTGCATGTACGGTCCAACCATCAACCCTTGATATTCCTCCTCTTCGAAGACATAGGCACCCTCTGAAGTTGTACCAATGTCCTCGTCGGAATAATCCGATGAAACTTCACTGCCGCTGTAGTCTTGTATGAGTCCGACATGTTGTACAATGTAATGAATGCGAGAATGCTGTGATCATGTTCTGGAAATGACGTCACACATCCGGGTTCCGGATTTTCGTGGGAAAATATAACTTGATTTCGGAAAATCAAATAATCAATTTTGGGGAATTATTTTCAGATTTCCTTTTTTACTTAGAGAGATGGTTGTGGGCTAATTCTCCCTTTTTAAAATTTTCAGTTGTTATTTCACATATGCCCTTTAATGCCTCCAATAAGGGTAAACAATCTTCATTATTGGCCATGGTGATCCTGAATAAAATGGGGAAAAGAAACAGTCTACCCTCAGGGTCCCCATAAGGGGTATGGGCTAGACGATTAACCAAGGAATACAGTGCCCATGGCTCACAGTGGCAGTTCATGACTGACACAAAGCCAGCCTTTCATTCTTTCAGCACAGCTCCTACACCTTAGAACTAGACAAAGGATGGGGTTGAAGAAGATATGGAAGAGGAAAGAGGAGAGAAAAAAAAAAAAAAAAAAAGACCATGCAAAAATTAGTTGAGCCGAGGCCTGAGGCCCAATGTAGGGGCAATCCCTACATTGGGTTTTAGTTTCCATCTCCTAAGCCCCCCCCCACACACACACACACCATAAAAGCTGTGATTACTTTAAACACAGGTCAGTCTATCATTAAAGTGTATCCTACTGAACAGAGTATATCTAATCTGAACAGAATGCTGCTTCTTCACATGTGTATAAGCTCTGCATAATTTCAAAAGCCAGGATACTTTACCCCACTTGCACCAGGTTTGTGTACTGTCAGCTGTTAACTCCCATTCTTGTTTATTTTTGAATGCTTAATTTTTTTGTTAGTCATATGATCCAGATGGCTTAAAGGGAAAAAATCAGGAAAGGAGGCTTTGCAAATCATGTTCTGTACCCTTGTATAATGAAGGCCTTAACTACTAAATAATCTAAAAGTAATCCTAAGTACATTAAAATTTAGCAAGGAAAGTAAAAGCTTAATCTACAGATGCACCTTTCTCCTTTCCTAAGCTTGGTATTCTATTCAACGTTACTTCTTCCGCATTATGCATAGACTTGCACTCCCTAAGATTTACTCTTTTTTAATGCAAAGGTTCTAAAAATCACTAAAGAGACTAACTACTTTATTTCCAAGCAATAAACTAATAATGTCAACTAGAGAACCACTTTTGTACTGTGGTTACAAGGGGACTAAAACACTAGAACCTCTCCATAATAGATGTAACGTGTCGATGGAGAGGACGGTTACTCTAGCAGACTCTTCCTTATGTAAAAAAAAATATATATATATAAAAATAAAATAAATTAAAACATGTAAAAAAAAAGAGAAAATAAAGTACAATGAAATGGAAATAATGGACTTTATATAAAATGCTCAATGCACAAATCCTTTGTTAAGTCATACACTTCCCTTAGATGTCGTACATAATAAAGTTACATTTCCAGGACATTTCCACTGAAAATAACTCTCTGGCCTAGTAAGCTCCATTGATTATTAATATAAAACAGATCTCCATCTAAGTAACATCTCTATAGAGAGGTACTTTTACACATACTTGTTTCAGTGCCACCTACTTTTTGTGGGACTCATTTCCTTTAGTTAGCCAGATGTTTCTCCTTAATTGAAGAGGAGGAATTTTAAAACAGGAAAGCAGAGCACCAAGAGAAACAAACATGCTTTCTACACTCAAATTTGTTTGGGTAATGATGATTTGGAACAAACTCAAAATAATCACCCTAACAAAACAAACAAAAAAACTATACATGGTACCATTTTACATTGTTTTACAGGTGAGATTGGTATGACTATAGATTTCAAAGGGAAAGACAAAATGAGGATTATAAAATAAAACTTTACTTTGCAACATCTATATAAGTGGAAAAGGAAAGAAAATTCACATGTTCATAGAAAATCCACGATTCGATTACTCTACAATTACAATCACTGAAACCGAAAAAACACATGACATGGACCCTTAAGTGAAATGGTAGTACAATCTATATTCCACACTTGAAAATAAAAATATTTTCAGACCTATTACAAAAAATCTCTACTTGCAAAAATAAGGAAAAGCAACATCATGACTTTATATAAAAATGACTCCTGGAACTCCCAGGTATAGATGATGATCCTACTCCTATTCTTTTAAAGAAAATTGATGAAGACACATGTACTTTGCTCTCCTACATATATCCTAAATACTAACTAGTACACCATTAAGATCCTCATGTATAACTGCCTACTGAAAGGAAGAAGAGAGGTCTTAACATTTAAAAAATAAAAATCTAATCAGCCTCATGATTGCCTTCTTCCTCATCATTGGTTGATGAGTGCCAAGTGAGCCTCTCTTCATAGAATTTGATGACAACTTGTGGACAACGAACATTTGCCTGCCTTGCTGGTACTAAATCTGCTTCATCTGTCCCTCGCCTGCAAAAGGAAATCATACATCAAAAATAAATTTAAGATCTAAAGAATATCTACATCTGTATTTCACTTGGAAAAGGATACCTAACTTTCATAGTAAAACATCCAGCCAATATGAAAGAAAGACGGTGTATACAGTGGGACTGCCTCTAACACACTATCTGACAGGTAGTCATGTTTTTCTGGTTTAATGTGAAATGGTGAAGCTTTCTACAGTTCACAATAATCTTGGATACCAAAAGGGTTTTAACCAACACACTCCAGGGAATGGCCAATCACGTCATGTTAGACCCACCCTCACACTGGTGGCATCCTATCAGATTATGCATGATTGAGCCTGTTGAAATAGGGTGCCCTTGTTTAGCCCTGGCTGTAGTCATTAAGGAGATACAGCTCCTGAAAAGCCTCTTTTTGGCCACATTACCTAAACAATTATTAGACTCAAAAGCTAAGAGTATAGAGATCTGGATAAGTTTGCTTCCTGTCTTTCTAGTTTTTCTCTCAGGCAGCTGACTCCAAGAGCTTCCTAATGTCATTTAGTATGGCTCTCAGAGCACTCATTTTGTGGGCAATCAACATTTTACAATGCCTTAACAACCTTCAAATCTGTTACAAATTATACCATTTTCATTATATGCACTTATCTTAATTGTTCACCCTACTCAACTCATTCTCTCATCATATTTTCAGGTGCATAAAATCTGACTCTTTAACACATGTAATTCAAATGACCTAACAATTACGCCATGAAAAAAAGGGACGAGTGACGTGAACATGCCATCATGGGAAAATTTGGCTGAGGGCAGGTGACGGGAACAAACCATCAGGGAAAAATTTGGCTGTGGGCCCAAGTCATGCAAAATTGCTGTCATGAGCATTTCGGCTAAAGGCCAGGGTGTTGGGAAAGGACTTGCCACAAGTGCATAAACCTCAATTGGCATTTGGGAAGGGGATTCTACATTATTCCTAATGACAAACAAACATAAAATGTAGTGTCCATGAGCTATGACTATTCCGGAATATTATTATTATTTATCCCACTCACACCGGGTATCCCATATCTGAGACACCCCCCCAAAAAATACACTCCACGCGTCCCGCCAGTGTGACGCTGTGTCGGGGTCGCGCTCCGGCACAGCAGCGGGCCACGGCCGGCCGGCAGACAGACTCCGGGGAAGCTCTGCTCACAGATTTTGTAGCCGCCCGGATTTTTAAAATTTTGGCTACAAACTGTACCCGCACGACTGGGTTAATATTACACAAAGAAAATGTTCCTTTTTTTTTTGCCACTGAGTTATGGACTACCTAGAGATAATATGGAGTCTGTGCAAGGAGAACAGTCTACTACTATGGGGATAAAGCTAATAAAATGGCAAATAGGGGCATTGGAAAATGGCAAGAAACTAATACGATTATACATAAAAAGAAAAAATAACATTGCAAAGGGGAGGCATAGTCATACCACAATGCACGAGTGTTTGCAAGCACGCAGAAAACAAGCCACACTTTTGAGAGCAGGGCTCACTTAAGGCTAATGTCTGTATATTGGATCATGTGATTGTTGTGAAGCAACAAGATCCAAGGGGTTAAATACACACAAAAATTTTGTCTAAGTGAAAACTGACAAATAGATCATTTGCTGTTAGGCTGAAAGTAGTTCAGTTCTAAGCACAACTAACTCCCGGTAGGATAAAATTCTATAGACTACAAATATAGCAATGCTCTAATATCAAAAAGAAAGAAAGAAGAAGAAAAAAAAAAAAATTTACCATTTCATCAGGAACATCAACTCTCCACTTGAGTCAGTTGCACCTATAATTCTTTCAGCTTCAAGTCCACGATCAAACCCCCTGGGTCGACTGTCCTCCTGATTAAAGAATCAATATTAATTTAATTAATTTATTAAATATTTGATGAGAATAAGCACATTGTAGGTTATTAAAGAATTATGTGTATGTATATATATTGTAGTGTATGGCTGCACACATTCCGACTTTAAACAAGTCCCTGTCATACACCATGTGCAGTTACATCCTGCAGACACAAGTAATATATATATTTTTTTGGGTTGAAGATTTCTTTAAATTGGGGATACATATGCTTTCACGCTGACACATTGATGAAATCACTTATGGAGTTGAGGTGCCAACTTAGGGTAATTTTATGGTTTATTTTAAGTTTATCTGGTGTTGTTTTCCATGTGCATTACCTCCACTATGATAAATTGGTAAGGTACACATCTATGTCTACTTCCCATAACTGTAACTATTGTTACACCTGGGTTCCCACTTCCAGCAGGGGAATGCTCATACATTCTCAGTTGAGCCTGCATTTAACAAGTTGTAGAGTAACTGCTGGGACATGAACTGCCTTGTACACATAATAGTGGCCTAGGAGAAGCCACTATTGAGTCTTCGGAATCCCCATTTGTTAGGGACAGTCTGGGTCTTGAAAAAGCTAGGGCCCATGACTTAGGTGATGAGGAGACCGAATTCAAAAAGGCTTGTTTAGATGTCACGATCCATCCTGACCTGCAATCAGACATGGGGCCTTCATAAGATCCCAGTGTAGGTGGCTCCTTTGATTCGGAATCCTCAGCACAGTCATCGGTTGTGGTTATCGATGAGCCATTGGACCCTTGGTTTGATTGGGACAATCAAACCAATCACGCATCATCTTTCTTATTTTCAGAGCCCCAGCAGAATGCATGCTGCCCAACAACCGAACAACACATTACTAATGCCTCTTTCCCTTCCTAATATTCAGTTGCCCTGTTTGCCCTACTTTTTTCTATTTCTACTGCTCAGATCATCTCTAGATGGATGGCAGCAGGGTCCATCAGCCAGCTTCTGTCCTGTGGAATGATCCTGTTCTCACATCCGCCCTTGAACCACGCGGGTTTTCTCACCTTCATCTTTTTGGTAAGGTAATGCTTTTGTGCCATTGTCCTGGGCATCTGCAAAACCCGGCACAACTAAGAATTTATCTTAAGTTTGGCTAAGCTATGGCTCAGTCCCAGAGTCATTTCAGAGTAAAACCAGAGCTGACCCAGAGCTGAGGTCGGTCTCTGCTCTTTCCCTATGATGGGAACGTAGAGGTAGTTTTTTTATAAGGACCTGTAGGAATTTTACTTTTCAACAGAATATTCCTGTAAATAGCACCCTTTCTTGTCTTCTTAACCTTCTTCTCTGCTTTTCTATCAATCTAGTATAGCACAAAACCAGGTTTTAGGTGGACCTCATAGCACCTTGCACATTTAAGCTAGATCCTCCACTGGATCCTCAAT